TTGCAAGCCAAAATAGACGATGCCAGAGCAACATACAAGCCACATTGTCATGTTGAGGGCTTCACCCAACTTCTGCATTTCACTGTTGTTTAATTCACACCCAGTGTCAGATAATATTTTTTGAGCACCAAAAATGGTTATCCAACTGGAGAAGAAACCTCCAATAACAGTGGAAGCCATTTTGTTTTGAATCACCCTCATTGCACAAAAGCAAGTTGCCAGATCCACAATCACAAGAAAGTAACTTTTGTCTCATATTTTCAAATCCAAAGCCACAGTTTCATTAAATTAAGTTGCCATAGGAAGACTGACAACGTGTCTAGAAGGGGTTCTTTTGAATTTGATAAACGTTTCACACCTCTTTGATACAGAATTAATTTCATTTTCAAGTTTCTGATTATTTGTATTTGCATCACAAATCAACTTTATGAGTTTTGGGGGATTAGGGTGACTAAACTGCTTATGCATTTTGTTGTTTGTTTTATTTGTATCCTTCATTTTTGAGATCATGATCAAATTACAAGTAGCATTATCTAGTTGTCTATAGAGAAATAAAGAATTAATGGCCTGAAATGGTGAGTTGCAGTTTAATTCTTCTCTTTCTAACAGTCAGTGTGTCATTTTGAACATTCAAAACAATGTTTGCTTTTTTCATTGAATTTTTGCTTAAAATTAAAAGTATTTTACACTCAACAACATCGGTAGTTATTTCTGACCTCACAATTCCAATCAAACAGGAAATGGTCAATTTCTTTGCAGATTCTACTGTAGCACCATCATGAAAAGAAAATGTAGAAGCAAAGGTTTGTTCCACAGTTAAAGACCACTCATGACCATTTAATGAATTCAAATATTTTTGAAGCCAACCTTTACGACAGACAGTAGTTGAACATTCTGTGTCCAAAATAACACAGCTCTTCACATTGTTCACCAGGGATTGCAACCTTTTACTATTAGCCTGATTAATAAACAAGGACAATATAACATTTTCTGATGTATTCTTTTGCAGACCTTGATCACTATTCTCATATGCATGAAGGCATTCACGTGCCCAATGAAATTTTGAGTTGCTTTATGACACATCTTGAAACCTGCCCACCACAACCCACATGATTTAATTTATGGCCATGTGATTGTATAGAAAGTTCCTTGGTTGAAGTACAACCTCATCCATGTCTGAATCTATAAATCTATAAAAAAGGGTGTCCTGACTTTCCTTTTTTTATCTCAGGCTGAGGGGTACATTTATCAATATTTGAAAGAATAACTGAATGTCCAGAAATGTATTTAATGGCCTCCTTCATATTTTTGAAAGACACTTCCTTCAATGCCGACATTTTTAAGTGTGCATTCTTCACATGGAAGTTTACAGATGAAAGGAGCATAAATGCTATTACTGGGTTTGGAGAAACCATGTTTTCCTGTGTAAACTTAAAGTAGGTGTGATCAAAATCAATCAGACAATCCTTTATTTCTGTTTCCGCTGCTATATGCAAATTGTACAAATTATCAAAGTCAACAAATTGCCGTCTCCCTTTATTTAGCAGGAATAAATTATCCACCTGTCTCTGTTCCCAAATCTTCACTGTCTATCTCAGAAGAGACAGCCCTGGCTTTTCCACTTAAAGATAGGTAAATGGCCAAAGCCTGTTTTGGTTTTGGAAGGTCTGTCAGCCTACTCCAAATATGTAGGATTTTTTTCCATTGTTCATAGGCAGATTTATTGTCTAGCCTTGGAGGCTATTTGGAAGAACATGTATTAGAATTATCCATTCTTACATAAATTATAAGTTGTAGAGTCGCAAAACTTTAAAAATAACAGAAAAATAGAAATGGAAATTCACTTAATTTTTGTTGCTCTGCTACTACTTGTTAATATTCAATGAATCAATTGTATCTGCAATAACGTAATCCTCCTGCTAGTCTGAATATTGACAACTGAACAATTGAACAATTTTCAATATGGCTGCCAATATTTTATAGAAGCCACCACCTGGTGGCACTAAACAACAACCAAAAGACAAGGGCAATAACTACAATATTAACCAAAACCACCACCACTGCCACCACCACCACCATCATCATCATCATTAGCACCACCACCACAACCCACCACCACCATCAACTCCACCATCACCACCACCACCATCATCATCATCATCATCATCATCATCATCATCATCATCATCATCATCACAACTACCACCACCACCACTACCATCATCATCATCATTGTTTTCTTTTCCCCCAGCTACTTTTACTTTTTTTATCACAACATTCTTTTCTTTTTCCAATTTTTCCATTCTTTCATTTTTCCTTCTTTTTTCTTATGGTCTTTCTTTCTTTTTCTTTCCATTTTTTCTTTCTTTCTTCTTTCCTTTTCATTGATTGACTGATTAATTCATTTTTTTTTCAATTCTTTCTTCTTTTCTTCTCACCTTTTCATTCATTCAATCTCTTTTTCTTTTTCTTTCTTTTCGTTTTTTTCTTTTCTTATCTTCTTCTCCTATACTTTTCATCATTCTTTCTTTATTAACTTCTTTTCTTTCTTTTCTATTTCTATTCTTTTTTTCTTTTCCTTTCCATTCTTTCATTATTTATTTATTTCCTTTTCATTCATTCTTTCTTCTTTTCTTTTTCTTTCTCCCTCATTCTTACTTTTATTATATTTATCTCTATTTCTTTCTTGCCTTCTTATCTTCTTTTCTTTTCATATTATAAGTTCTTTTCTTTCTGTTCTTTTCTTTCTTCTTTCCATTTCATTCATTCATTTTTTTTATTCTTCCTTTGTTTCTTTCATCCGTTTCATTTGTTATTAATTCTTTCTTTTCTTCTTTCTTCCTTTCTTTCTCATTCTTTCTTTTTTCTCTTTTTCTTACCTTCTTTCTTCCTTTTTTCTTTCTTTCTTTCTTTTGTTTTTCTTTTCATCTTTCTTAACTACCTTACTTTCTCTTTTCTCTGCTTTCTTTCTTTCTTTTCATCTGTCATACATGCTTCTTTTTTCTGATTTTGCTGTCTCTCTATATTTCTCTTTCTATTCTTTCCCTCTCTCTTTCTAATGTTTCTCCCCTCTCTCTTTTTAATGTTTCTCCCCTCTCTCTTTCTAATGTTTCTCCCCTCTCTCTTTCTAATGTTTCTCCCCTCTCTCTTTCTAATGTTTCTCCCCTCTCTCTTTCTAATGTTTCTCTCCCTCTCTCTTTCTATTGTTTCTCTCTGTCGCTTCCTGTTTGTCATCCTTCCATCTTGTCTCAATTCTCTATCTATTACTCAGTTTCGTTCCTTGTGTAACTTCTTGCCAGTGATCTTTTTTTCAAAAGCAAACCTGATTTCTTTTCTTTTTTAATGAATACTCCAGTCATAAAGAGTACCGAGGCATAAAAGACTTGCTTAAGCTTTACAAAAAGTTCCTTAAGGTTGAGCACAAGTCAACAGAAGCAGCAACTCTGAATTCATCCAAGAGAAGGAAATGCAGAAACTCTGAAGAATTCAAATGGATAACATCTTCACAGAAAGATTTACTTTTGGTTTAGAGAATAAAATCTTCATCTGGAAATTCTCTGTTTTAATGCCTCATTTTTCAGGTCAATACTCACAGCACAAGAACAGTCTTGTTGCTATGGTTACACCTGGATTTTTGAATATATTTTTTTATTCTAGAAGTTTTGGAATTTAAGAATTTCCATATCAGTGCGGCTGTGTAATATAGAATATTTTCTTATCTCTAAAGCCTTTATAATATTTTTTTGTTGATTAATTGGAAAACTTACAGTTTGAATTCAAAATTTCAGTTTCTTTCTTTTGAAAGTCACCAAGACTTTTAATAAAGGGCATATATGCTTTTCAACAGTATTACAATAAGCAAAATTGTGCTTTGTAAATTCTTTGATGTTTTAAGACTAATTTATCAAAAATAACATATTTAGATTTTATGCTTCCATATTGATTACAAAAGTGTTTTTAATTTTATTAATTTTTGAAAACACCATATGCAACATACTTTTACAAAGGACAGGAATTTGTGGAGAACCATGATAGCCCATGTCCTGAAGAAACACAGCACAGAGAAGAAGATTGGTTTGGTTTGGTTTGTTTAATGACATATCAACTCCTTATGGGTCATTTAATGCTGAACTTTAATTTTCTTGGGAGCATTGGTAATATTTTTTTCAAAAATGTATTGCTGGTAATTTTTTTTACTATGAGAATATATTGCTTGCGTTCTCACAACAAAAATGTATTTTCATACTTTCATAATATTTTGACCCCAGTTTGGGGTTTTACTATTTGCCCATAATTTGGACTTGAACAGGTGCTACCACTCTGGGTCAGGTTAGACATGGGAACAAAAGCAATTAAGTGGTGATTCTATGCTCCTCAAAACCTCTCAGTCAGAGAGAGGCCTTGCTGTTGGATATAGTTTATCATCATACCCAGGAAGACAAAGAAGAAGAAGAAGAAGAAGAAGGAGAAGGAGGAGGAGGAGATTCTCAAAGACCAAGAAAAAGTAGAAAATGAAAAAGTATGATTATGACCATGATGATAATGATGGTAGTGAGAAGAAGAAGAAGAAGAAGAAGAAGAAGAAGAAGAAGAAGAAGAAGTGAAGGAAAAAAAGAACAAAGACCAAAGTATATGCTGTGCAAGGTATTGGGAGAAAAAAGAATAAAGATGAAGATATTCATTTGAAGGTAGAGAATAATAAAAATAAATTTGAAACTATTAATATCAGGTGATAGTGTTCTATTAGCAAGAAGTACACATCATCTACAAGCATCAGTTTTAATGGTTATATCTAAGATTTATTAACAATACTTACAGGTTCACCATATACTATATACCTTGTCTTTGTTGGCATTTGTCGATGACTAATAATAAAATTAAATGTGATAGAAAAGTGAATATTGGCTGACACTATTTCGAAGATAGAATTTTCTTTTTTTAACTGGACTTCCTTCTGAAAATTCACATTTGCTATTTTAATGATAGATTCTATTGAGTTTTGGCCATATCATATTGAAACCACTGGTTCTCATATGATCACCAAAGTTAAGCAATGTTGAGCCTGGTCAGTACCTAGATGGGTGACCACTTGGGAATGCTATGTGCTGTAAGCTTTGATGTATAAGTAGTGTAATGGATAATTGTTCAGATTTGGAAATTGGAAAAACAGTGCAAATACCCCTTGGAAAGGGAAGGATCCACTTGTTCTCCCCCAGTTATGTGTTAATTAGTTGAAATTGTATCAGTAAATCATTATTATCTCTGAAACAAATCTTACAATCTAAAAATATTTTCTGACTTTAAATAACCTGCAAAATGATTGATAAGCTATAAAAAGAAATCAATCAATCAAGAGATTTTATTTTAATCATATTGAGAATATTTCCAATTCTAAGTAGTTATCTATTAAACCACCTATACTCCATGGCTTACAGAGGTGACAGTTTCATGCTAAATGTAATTGTCAGGTTATGGGCATTGTATTTTTGCTGGACTATTTATATATACAGGTCAGTAATGCTTTGTGGGTAGTCTATTGAATTGCATTGTGGGTAATCTATTGTATTATTCTGCTACAGTGGTGGGTGGTAAGGGTTTCCAGTTATTCTAGGGATTATTGAGTGGGAATAATTGTGGATCTGAATGCAGTTTGGGGGCTATTTATGATGTTGTCAGTTAACTTTTTTTTTATTTATTATTGATTATTTTATTGATGTCATCAATATGTTTATTTGTTTATTATTTACTTCTTTATTTGTTTGGATTAATTTTATTTTTTTTGTGTATTTTATTTATTTATTTATTTTTGTTTATTTGTTTTTAGTTTTTAATTTTTAAGTAATGTAGTAAAAATTTGATTTTGTGTCTGCATTTTGAGATGAGTTCTGATCTTTTAAGGTAATTATAGCCATGTTTCCTCAAGGAAGCATTTACAGTTTCTGGATTGATTGTTGTAGGCTGATGCCATTTTCCATATTTTGGTGTGATATTGTTTTTAATCTCCGAGTTATGTTTAGAAAGTATTGCACTGTTCATGTATTTATTATTTTAATTGTGATAAGGCCATAAGCAGTGTGTGTGTTGAAGGGTGTCAACAGATATAAATATCTATGTGTTAATGCAGGAATCCTCTATAAATGTGAAACTGAACAATTATTGATGGTCAACCAGCCATTTTCAGAATCAGAAGCCTTTCGAATTGGATGATTAATCATGTTAATTTTAAATTTATTGATTCAGCATTTCTGAGTTTTTATAATTTCAAGAACACATAATTGCATGCAAGGCATTTCCCAAGCTGAAGGGGGTCTATTAATTATTAGATAAATTCAATAACACTAAGAAGAAGGAAGTTTTGTTCAATTGGGATTTTCTATTAAACACCAAAGATTATAGCCTTCTCTTGCAGTCAAAAGATAAGGAATATAATTGTAACTGACAAAGATTGAGTTTATAAGATCCTGAGTATCAGTGCTATAGATTATAGGATTCTAGAAGAGGATTGAGCTTTAACCAGATAAGTAATAATACATTAAACGAAATGTCTGTGGTATGACTGATATATGAATTGAGTACTTTTTCAACAGAATGACCACAATCTCTTAGGAGGAAGAAAATTAAAACATTTTTCTTTTAAATGCTGTATCCATTTGCAACATTGGCAATCATGGCTCTCCACAATTTCCTGTTCTTTGTAGCTCTTAATAAATTTTATCTTTTTGCAACCTCTCCTAAACATTCTTCCACCATGCATTTAATGAAGCTCAATAGGTAGGTTATGCCCTGTTTTCCTATATAACCTCTTGCCTTCAATCTCTCCTGTGAGTATCAAATTTTCCAAGCCCTCTTTCCTCAGTATGTGCGCTATAAATTTCAACTATCTCTTCCTGATATTAATTATAAGTGTCCATTTTGTTTCTATTTTCTCTAAAATTTTGGTGATGTTTCATGTTGTTTTTGGATTGGTCCATGGTATTTTCAGCATCCTTCTGTAGAACCACATTTTTGTTGCTTTAAGTTTCTTCTTCTTTAAGATTGCCCAGAGTTCACTGCCATACAGGGTGGGGGGGACTGATATTGCATAACAGTTCAGTATACTTTTCTTTGTTTCTAAATAAATTTTGCTCTTTCTTAATACTTTGCTTAACTTTTGGATCTGTGGAATGAGGATTTTTATATTGTATCTTCGATTGTACAGTTTTTTACATTTGAATTCCTTTCATCGACCAATTATATCTCTACTCATGCACACATACATACTACACACACACACACACACACACACACACACACACACACACACATATATATATATATATATATATGGGGGAAAATGTATGACAAAGTGTAAAAAGTTTTCACGCCAGAATGAATATGATCTATACTATGCTTCATCAGCTTTCATTTCAATGCTGTGCCAAAAGAAGCCGAATGTTTTATAGGAAACTAACTACACACATGCACACACACACAGACACACACACACACATATATATATATATATATATATATATATATATATATATATATATGTGAAAATATATAGAAAATAGGAAGGAACTGGTTAGGTAAATAGTCCGAAGTTCCTTAGTATTTTTGTTATTATTTTTAAAAATAGTGCTCGATACAAAAGTAGAGCATAAATATAATTATTTATTTAAATTATTTATTTAAAATTTATTTAAAATTTATTTAAAAATGAACTGGAATCATATTTTTAAATAAATAATTATATTTATTATTTTTAAATAAATAATTATATTTATATATATATATATATGTATACACATCTCAAAACAGTAATATTCAATCAGTCCTAAAATCATATAACTACAAAAGTTGGCTTTGAAATATTTTGTTTCTGATCAGATAAGAAATAAAAAAGAAAATCCTTACATCTTTTCTCTTTCTATCTGTTATATTCAGTGCTAATAAGAATATGTACTTGATAAAACACAGTGGATATAATAAGTAAAGGTTTATTATAATAACCATTACAATAAGAATAAAGGTAACAGTTATGCACAAGGTCATCTCAAGTCAATCCAGTTGTGAGTGCTACTATTGGAAGGTCGGTAGTTCTCACGTAAGTCTGAGTTGTACTCAACAGATTCCAGCTAGACAATATTTACCAGCCTCCCCATGAGGTAGGATGTGGCACAAGGTCGAGTTTAACGTGGGTCTTTCAAGCCTATAGGCTTGGCCAAAAAATTTCCATAGAACCCACATAAATAGGATCAGTTTGGTCAACCTCTTTGAATGAGACTTTGCCCTTCAGCAGAGCTTTGTCCGGGTTCTCTCTGTTTAGAGGCAGAGAGTTCAATCCCCTAGTTGGAACAGATCACAACTAGTATATTTAGCTATCCCCCCCATGAGGGTTGCATGTGGCACAAGGCTGGGTTTAACATGGGTTCTCCAAGCCCGTAGGCTCGGCCAAATATATTCCCTTTTTGAACCTGTATAAATGGGTTCAGGGTCAGTCTACCTCCCCAAATGAGACTCTGCTCTTTGGCGGAGCCTCGTACGGGTTCCTCTCTGCTCGAAGGCAGAGAGTTCAACTGTTTAGCTGGAACAGGTCGCAGCTAGTCTCTGTAGTCCATTGACTTACAGATACTTATAGTTAGTTACTACCTATAGTGTAGTCACTCATGGGGGTGACAGGTTATTCCATTACATCACTATCATAAAGGATTATTTTTCTTTTTGCTCAGAAAAGCAAATCTCAGGTTTGAGAGTTTATCGTATCTCCTGCATCTTTTTTATGAACCCTCTGCTTCAGATTATAACATCCATGTCTTCCAATGTAAGAAGAGAATGCTGACAATTAGAAAAGGAATCTGGAAATGGCTGCAGCTGTGAAATTTTGTTATTAACCAAAATATAATCTGTCAGAGATTTATTTCTTATATTTGGCACGCACATTTAAAGCTTGACACAATAAGTGCTGCTTTCATAGGAAAATAGATTCCAGGCTAAAGAAGATGTGCAGTTTTCCAAATTTATTCTTCTCCCTTTGTTTTTAATGCAGACATATCGTCATTTCTGAAAAGCTCTGAATGGGAAGCCATCATGAATGGTAAATAAATTATCAGAATATGCAGAAGAAAGACAGCACTGACAAAATTTTGAATATTAATGAATCTAAAGAAAAGTGAACATTTTTTGAGATAATAAATTATAATTTTGGATCAAGTTTGTCAAAGAAAAAAGAAGAAAGTAGCAAATATTTCATTTGTTCATTTTTATTCATCTTAAATATTTACAGGCAATTTTTTTTTTCATCCAGTTGTTCAAAATCCTAAATTTGTTGATTTAAAATGATTTTCCTGTGAAATAGTCCAAAAACATTATTTCATTATGCATCTATCTATTGATATATATATATCTATATATATATCTATATATAACGAAATATAGTCTTAAGGTGTGCTATATTTATGGGATAAAGTGCTCAATATCAGAGATAGAGCATGTGTAAATATAAAAGTGAACATAGAAGTCAACACTTAGAGGCGACAGTCTGTTTCATGCTATATGCAATCGTCAGGCCACATATGCTGTTATTTTTCTCGGCTATTTATATATATACGGGTTAGTGGTGCATTGTGGGTATTCTATTATGGCGGTTCTTTTTTACCGGAAGTTGCTTTGTTTATTTATTTGGGTGAAATTATATTGCTCGTTTTTATTTTTTTGTTTCTTATTTTATTTATTTATTTATTAACGTAGTAAAAATTTGTTTATATCACGTATTTAACAGTGAAACAAAAAAAAAATCTTTATTATTTTAAAAATAACGGATTCGACATAGATATAAAAACTAATCTAAACGAAGTAGATTTCCTAGATGTTACCTTCAACCTAAGAGAAGGCACATATAAACATATATATATATCTATATATATATATATACACACACACATACATATATATATATATATATATATATATATATATATATATACAATGGGAAAGGTGATAGATGTAATTTATGCCTTGTAGAAAAATTAGCTATCTTAAAACATTTAAATTGAACTAACTTATTAAACAAGAGAAATGAATTGATGGTCACATATACACATAAAAATAAATACTTGTTGAAATATGTTGAT